TTGACTCTTGATATCTTCAGTGAACAAGAATGCATGTGGCTAAGTCCTTGAGGGACTGAATCATAAATTTACTCAAATATTATTGTCTTCTGAAAGGGGAAATTGTAGTTAGCTACTCTAGTCTTATATTCAAGCTCAAATACTGAATAATCTTCAACCACGGATTCAGTCTAACCTAATCTCATTGAAACATTCCAGAGACCCGAAGTAGATGACGATCACTAGTCATGACCTGGCCAACTAGACAGGGGGATCAAAAACAAAGAAAAGGACACATCGGCTTCAAGAGGTGTTGCAATCTTGCCCAATTTTATGCCCTAATAGCATCCTCCTTGAGTCGCATAGAGGTCCTACATGTTCGCCTAACTTCTGACTTAAAAATATACTTTGGTACCAATCAAATCAATACTTCTATCAGTGAATATCACTTTAGAACAGTAAGCCAATTAGTTTCAGACGTTTGCGAAGTTCATGAGCAAATCCAAAAGGTGTCAAAATAACTAAGGAGCCTTAGAATTCTCAAAAACACATCTGTTCATGTCAGTTTGAAAACTCATTTTTAAACCAAACTCTGCTGTTGCCTGACCTTATTGCCTACGATGTGCAGGTTCAAACAAGAGCTACATAACTAGAGTAACTGCCCTCAGTTAACCCCAAAGGGAGAGAGGGGGGAAAAAAAATCACAATGTGTCCAGTTCTTATTTTACCAATGGACTGAAATTTGACGTGTATTTTTCAAAAGATAAAATCAGGAACACAGATCATACCTGCAACAAGCTGGGAATCAATCCAGCATAGAGAGCTGGAACACCACCCTGTTCAACAATCTTGACACAAGTTGCCAGTGCATTCATTCTTGTTGCCCGAACTTGCATTTGAAGCTGTCTTCTAACAACTTCAAAGGGATATGTAGCAGCTTCAGCTGCACAACCAGCAATAGCACCATATATTAGAGTTCTAATGGGTCCCAATTCCAATTGTTCCAAAGCATTGAGCTCTTGAGCTTGTTCTTTCATATGTTGGATCCTTTTCCTTCCTTCAGGTGAATGCAGATATGCCGACTTTAATATGTCATAAACACCATAAAATACGGCACCGGAAGGTGCCATGCTGACAATGGAGGGTACCAAACCCTTGTAGAGAGAAAAGAAGCCTTCAGTTCTTATCATGTGCCGGAAGGCACCAACCACACCTCCCAAGGCCTCACCACCAGGTGCAACCATTACCGTCCTGATCTGAAAAGCGTCACTCTCAGAATAAAATTGAAACGTAATAGAACCAAAAATCACACTTAATTGAGAAAACTGTTCCGAGAAGGAATAACATGAAATGCTTGAGAATGCCTTTTTATGATCCTAGTGATACACTAGAGACGTATACCAAAAATTATGTTCTCCAGCCAGTGCCTTTTCTTTCCTTAAAATGTTTTATAGCTCATGACTATTATTATGTTCTGAATCACCAGAAAAATTAAAAGAAATATAGCACGTTAAAAATCACAGAAGTACAATTAGAAAGCATCCTGGACCTGGAGGACAATAAATCAAGGTAACAAAGCAACAGTGATGGGCAAAGACATATTTACAACTCCTATATGTTAGGAAGCACTTGTTATAGGCTCTAAAGAACTCTAAATTGTTTTGAAAATTAAGTGCAAGAACCAAAGGATTGAGTAAATTGATGTGAAGAGAGATGGGAAGCCAACAGGAGTGGCAAAAAAGAGAAAAGCCCCATACAGCATTGTCAATTGAGCTATCATGTCAATAGTCCAAGCTAAATTAATTAAACGAAGATTAGGATTGAAAACTATATAGGCATTTTGTAAATTAATACTCAAAAGATAGGATGTTTATAATTGCAGCAAACTGGTAATATAAACTCTACATGCATTGCATAAGCCACCTGCTTTACATCAAACTAGATATAAGAACATACAACAACAGATTAACACAGAAAGAAAGTTATAAGAGAAAGATTAACAGTCTTAGATTGCTACTTACAGTGTCCATAGGTAGGCAGAGCAAGGTAGCTGTAATCCCTGCAGCAGCACCCGCAACAAATCTCTCAAAATTTGTGGTTTCTTCGTTTCCAGAAATCCTTAACAGATGATTTCTATAAGTATCATAAGCATAAAAATTTATAGCTTTAAAGGGTGCTGTCCGTAGAATATTTACGAAATTCCCTTTCCAGAAGCCTTTCAACCCTTGAGAAGTTGCAATTTCCTTAATGAGCTCAAATAGGTTTTTCTGTTCACCACGAACTATGTATTCCAGCTTAAGTCTCTCAAGAGGCGCTACAAATGTCCTGAAACAACAAAAAGCATGTTGGCCAATAAATTTGTGATGCAAAAAGAAATAAAGATGGGTAACTGAATTCAAATTGTGCAGCAAAGTGACAGATATAGCTAAAGCATTTAGAAGTTCTCTGCCATAGCAACCATTTGAAACTAAAAGGGATCTATATAAAACTTAGAACGGCAGAGGAGAACGGCATGTTGAATTTATGTGAATTCCTAATTCACAGTACCGACCTCATGAATTTCTTGGAGCTGACCCAACATGAAAGAAAAGGAGTTCTGAAATTGTCAAAATGATAAGGCGACACATCATGAACATTCTTTTATCAATCTAAAATGAAAATATAACTTTTTCCAATCCTTACAAAACCGAACAAAGAAGAGAAAGATATCATTGTCGCCACCTGAAATGAAGGCAAACCACGAAGTGACAGCAATTACCAGGCAAAGAAGACAAAAGCAAAGGTATGTCATTCGAAAGATGAAATTAAAAGGAAAAATTAGTCACGAGAATGGAAGAAGAAAAGAATAGCACGTCACATGAACTAATCGTTCGTTATTCCAAATATTAGACATACTAAAAAATCCAAACCTTGAAACCATAGCAGCCACAGCTCCCGCCCACAGATGCCTAGTCACATTCATAGCACCCGCTCCCTTCATCTGAACATTCTCCTTCTCTTTACATCCATCGGACCTGTCCGAAATTTTACCCTCATGCTGGCCCAGAATTTCTTGCGATTCTCGAACATAGCTCTGATCCCCTTCGCTTCCGTTTATGGACAAGCTCAACGACAAAAACCCCCCACCCACTGTGCCCGAAGCTCTCCTTTCCCGCCTAAATATTTCGAAACTCACCGTTCTTCTGCGTCCCCATGAAAAACACGAAACCCTTTCCGCTTCAGAATAAGTTTTGGGCGATATCAACGAAATAAACGACGCATGAGCTGAATCAATATCGAGGAACAAGCCCCCAGGACAGAATAAATCACAAGGTTCGGTTTTGATCAGATGGGCCATTGTATTAAGTGATTAATTTTTACAGGAATTAGATCCGAACTAAGAGAGCGATTGGTCTGGTTGGTTTGGTCAGAAGCGACCGAAGCTTGAAGCGGCACAACATGGAGATTTCACATTTTCTTGAAGGCCGAAAGACAAAATAACAAGACGGAATAGGATTTGCCGGTTTGGGTAAAGTGAGAATGACAAGAGGAATTTTAATTGAAGATTCTTGCATAGCTTTGCCCGCCGAAGCCCGCATTGCTCTGTGTCATCGTCAGTTCGAGCTGGGAAAGTGGACGGATGTAGTGGAGTAATATTCAAATGCACAAAACTGCATAATTATTCGACCTTCCTACTTCCTAACATTCATATCTAGGTAGTTGCGTGGCATTCAAGAGGCTAAGCGGCTCCCTCTGCAATACAACCCACCCTCCACCAAACCCCTTAAGCACTGTTCTTCCTTTTTCGGAGGATGGTCCATTTCTAAGCCACCGACCCCGCTGCGTTGAGTTCCATGCGAAGGACCGCGTCAGATTTGAACGAGTTTTGCATTTCGCGTGGATGCCGTGGAATCTGACGAAAGGGCCAAAAAAAAAAAAACACGTGCGTATAATACATTACCACTTTTTATAAAATTAATTAATAATTAATAATTAATTATTACTCCCACAAATATATCAAGAACACCAGTTTACTGTTATAAAACACTTTTAACTAATTATTCTTAGTTAATATATTCAATATCTCTAAATTAAATTATTTTAATTTGTGGCAAAAAGAAAGTAGTTTAATATTTTAAATATATCTATTATTAAATGAAGTTGACTCTCTTAATTAATCAAATTAATCCCTCTTAATATTATGAAAAATACATAAAATAATCAGAAATGTGTCTTATAAGAGGGTAGATCATAAAATATTTTTCAAATTTCATATAATATAAAAGTTGACAAACCCTCTTTCTTTTCTTTCGTTATTTTGAGCCAATAGAAATCAGAACAAATGTGAACAAAAAAAAGGCCAGCAAAAAGGGTAAAGATCTACAGTTCTTTGGTTCTCGGATTTGTGATTGCGACTTTGCGGGACAGATTGTTTTCCCGCTGGATCAACCAGCAAGGTATACAGAACTTGTTTCTTTTCGGTTGTTGGGTGTGACCTCACAACTTTTAAAAATTTACATTAAAAACCTTGAATTTTTATATTTTAATCATTTACATTAGAATTACTGTTAGAGTTAATGATTTTCCTCGTGTCATAATTTTTTATACTTTTTATTATATAGGGTTAATATGCATCTAATACATCTAAGATTTTTTAAGTGCATCCAACATTTTAAAATATTTTGTAATGTACTCAATATCTTAAAATATTTTTTTAACTGCGTCCAATATTTTAAAATATTTTTATGCACCTAACATTCTAAAGTAATTTGTTTAGTGCGCTTAACACCTAAAAATATTTTTTGGTGCATCTAACACCAAGGCAAAAAAAAAATTTCAAGGTGCTAGGTGCACATAAAAAATATTTCGAGATGTTAAATACATCACAAAATGCTTTAGAGTGCTGAATACATCTGAGAAAATATTTCAAGTGCTAGATACATCTTAACCTTTTAGGGCTTTAAGAACATAATATTTGGCATTTGACATATAATTTTAAATATTTTTATACTTAAAAAATAATTCAAAATATTTTGACTGTAATAAAAAATCATTAAAAAAATGTAAAATACTTGAAATTATATGTTGAATGCCAGCAAATGCTATTTTTTAAATGGTATGATACATAATAAAAATATAATATTATGACATGTTAAAAACCATTAACTTTAATGGCAATTTTAATGATAAGAGAGTTAATAATCAAAATATAAATATAAGAGTCTTTAATTTAAATTTTTAAAGCTCAGAAAAGTGATGTGCAACTACTCAGAAAAAGTTTGTGTATTTTAACATCTAAAAAAAAATAGAACCATCAGATAACAAATGAGCATCGATTTTATTTTATTTTATAATCATACTACTCTTTTAGGACTGCATAATAATTTAGGTAGAGTTTGATCATGATTATTAGACGCGTTTGATTTTAATATATTACGCATGGCATGATAATTATTGCAATTTTTTCGACATTTATCACTTTATTTTGGTGAAAGTGTCACATATAATAACCAAGTACTGTCTTTTGCTTTTTGACGAGGAGCCTTTAGCATTATCGAACAAAAAGATACGCAGATGTGAATAAAAAATGAAGAGGACATAGCTAACTTGGGCTTTAGCCCCGCTTTTGAAAAACAGGACAGCAAGATTGTGGAGTGATTATAATAAGCTGATCTTGCAAGAAGAACTAATGTGGTTCCAAAGAGCTAGATGTCAATGGCTTCAGTGGAGGGATAAAAACACAAAGTATTTCCATGCTACTGCTATGATAAAAAAAAAGATAAGTGTGATCGCAGAACTGCAAAATGATGCAGGGGAATCGATCAGAGACAATGAATAGCTGAAACAAATGGCAAGCAATTACTTCAAAACCCTGTATACAAGTGAAGCAGATCCAAATAGAGCGATAAGTTGGCCCAATGCCTTTCCAACAATCCAACCGCAGCACTTAGACCTGATACATAAGGAAATGAGCAACATTGAAATAAAAAATGCAGCTTTTGCAATGGGAGCTTTTAAAGCCCCAGGACCAGATGGATTGCCGGCACACTTTTTTTAGACACAGTGGGATAGAATTGGGGACCAAATTTGCAGGCTGATAAAAGAAGTTTTCAGGGACCCCTCGAAAATCAAGGAAATTAATTCAACAAATATAGTTCTCATATCTAAGGTGGAGCATCCAACGACCCTAAAAGACATGAGACCAATCTCCTTGTGCAATGTGAGCTTCAAGATTGTGACCAAGATCATTGCAACAAGGTTGCAGCCAGTGATGAATTATCTAATAGGAGCAGAACAATGCAGCTTTATCAGGGGTAGATTCAGTTGTGATAACATTGTGGTTGCACAGGAAGCTATCCACCTAATGAGAACTAAGCCTGGAAGGAAAGCATATGTTGCAATCAAGGTGGATATGGAAAAGGCCTATGATAGGCTAGAATGGTCATTTCTTGAGGATACACTCAGAAGTATTGGCATTAATGAGAACATAGGAAGGGTAATCATGGAATGCACAAGATCAGCTAAAATGAGAGTCCTATGGAATGGTGAAGAAGGCCCTTACTTCACCCCCTCAAGAGGAGTATGCCAGGGAGATCCTCTAAGTCCATATCTTTTCGTTCTGTGCATGGAAAGACTGGGGCAACTTATAAAGGCTGAATGCGCTAATCAAAGATGGAAACCTCTTCGATTCCATAGTGAAGGACCCCACCTATCCCACCTCTTTTTTGCAGATGACCTTATTTTGTTTGCTGAAGCCTCACAGAACCAAATCAGAGTCATTAAGCAGGTCATGGAAAGATTCTGTATAGACTCAGGACATAGGATTAATCTAAGCAAGTCCAAAGCTTTTTTCTCTAGGAATGTCAACTTCCATCGGGCTTCTAGTTTGTGTCAAAAGCTTGGCATCGGAATAACACCTGACCTTGGTAAATACCTCAAAATACCTCTCATCCACAAGAAGGTAACCAAGGAGACATTTGGGCATATCATAAGAAAAGTCAGAGCCAAGCTTTCATGCTGAAAAGGAAAGTTTCTTAACATGGCAGGATGCGCTGTACTTATCAAAGCATTCATAGCAGCTCTTCCATCTTACCAAATGCAATCTACTCTCATACCTAAAGGAGTTTTGAAGGAAATTGAGAAGATTAGCCGAAACTTCCTTTGGAGTCAAGATGAACATGCACAGAAAATGCACCTTATCTCGTGGGAAAAAATTATGCAAAACAAAGGCATGGGTGGGCTTGGCATAAGGAATCTTGAGAAACAAAATCAAGCTTTTGTAATGAAGCTGTGTTGGGGCCTGGTGACGAAACTTGAAGCTCTATGGGTGCAATGCCTTAGAGCCCGGTATGATTGTGGAAAAGAGACTATTCCTGCAGTTGTCAAACATAAGCAATGCTCACTGACTTGGAAAGCCATTTCTGGGGTATGGGAGAAATTCACTCAGGGACTAGGTAGGAAGCTAAATAGTGGAAGACAGACCAAATTCTGGCTGGACTTATGGACACTGCTTGAAGGACCTCTGATTCAATATGCTTCAAAAAACTTAGATAGAATTGACCCCAGTAACCTGGTTGCGAACTTTGTCTTGCCAAGTGGACAATGGGATGTCGGGCAATGGAATGAGTTCTTTCCAGATAATATAACACGAGTCCTCCAACAAATTAGACCACCAAGTGTTGATGAGGAAGATGTGGTATGCTGGCATAACGCCCCGGATGGCCAGTTTACAATCAAAGTAGCATATAAATTCTTATCTGAGTTGACTACCAATACTGGAGGATCGGTGTGGAAGAACATATGGCGTTGGCAGGTGCCTAAAAAAATCAAGCATTTCCTTTGGCAAACAGCTCATGAGAGATTAATGACCAACTCACTTAGATCTCAAAGAGGGATAACGGATTCTAGTCTATGCCCCTTAGGCTGTCTATGCGAGGAGAGCATCACACATACATTGAGGGACTGTAAAAGAGCGTCACAAGTGTGAAAGAAATTTATTCACCCTAACTATTCTGCTGTCTTTTTTTCCTCATAATTTGAAGGACTGGCTCACGTGGAATATGAAGAACAATCCAGCAAAAGAAAGATTCCAGCAATGGCCATGGACGAAGATCTTTGGTCATGTATGCTGGCTCATCTGGAAAGCACGGTGCAACCAATTATTTGGAAGAGACAACAGCACATGCTCGGAAATCTACCACCAAAGTTTGTTTCACATTATGGAGGATATATCCAGAGCAAAACTGCGTCATCAAATCTTCAAGGATCATCAAAGCCTACCTAGACACTAGATTGGACCACCGATGGGTGAACTCAGAGTGGACGTAGATGCATCCGCCCAAGGGAATCAACAAGCAACCTGTGGAGGTGTAGTTCGTGATCACCGAGGGAAGTGGGTTATAGGATTCGCAAGGAAGCTTGGAAACTACCTAGTTGTTGCTGCTGAAATCTTAGCTATTAAAGTTGGGATGGAGGTATGCAAGAGCCTCAATATAAGAGACTTTCAGATACACTCAGACTCATTGGAAGCAATTTCCACTCTGGTGAGAGATAGTGGCATTAACCATCCATTCAGACAAGAGATTGAAGAGACAAGGAAGCTCATCTATGAAGAGTAGAATATGAAGCTTGCATATGCTGCCCGAGAGTCATTACAATGTGCTGATGCGTTAGCAAAGCATGCCCACTCAATTGTGGATCAGATGGAAGTTTACCCAGATGTCACCGACTGCTGCAGGAGATTAGCTTTGATAGACATAGATAATAGGGAAGGAGATATAAATATATAACTACTCTTATCAAGCGTAGCTTGTCCTTGTACTAAAAAAAAAAAAAACAGGACAGCACGTTATTTTAGTGCCCAACAAATGTGAAGAAGAGAGATATTTTTATTATCCCGACTATAATTTAAATATAACATGTTATAAGTTGCCAAAAAAAAAAACAAAGGAACATGTTAAAAAACCACATATAGTCTTATACTACCTCCGGTCCTCAATATAAGGTCCTGTTTGACTTTTATTTTGGTCTTAAATATAAGACCCCAATCTACTTTGTCTTTCATATTTATACATTTTTTTTTCAAAGTAGCCCTTCTAATAATAATAGTTTTAGTCAATATATTTGATTAGTAAGGATATTTTAAGAAAGACAACACATTTAGGACAAATAACTAACTCAACTTATTTTCTTAATCTTTTCAAATTAGTCAATAAGTTCTTATAATTAGGACTGGAGGTAGTACATACTACCTCTGACACTTAATACTACCTCCGGTCCTTAATATAAAACCCTATTTGACTTTTATTTTGGTCCTCAATATAAGACTCTAATCCACTTTGTCTCTCATATTTACTCAATTTTTTCCAATATAATCCTTCTAATAATTATAGTTCTAGTTAATAGACTTTATTAGTAAGGATATTTTAGGAAAGACAACACTTATTTAGGATAAATAACTAACTCAACTTACTTTCTTAATCTTTTCAAATTAGTCAACTAGCTCTTATAATTAGGAATGGAGGTAGTATAAGAGTTAATTGACTAATTTGAGTACTACCTTCGATCTTTAATAAAAGACCCTGTTTGACTTTTATTTTGGTCCTAAATATAAGACCCTAATCCACTTTGTCTCTTATATTTACTCAATTTTTTCCAAGATAATCCTTTTAATAATTATAGTTCTAGTTAATACACTTTATTAGCAAGGATATTTTAGGAAAGACAACACCTATTTAGTACAAATAACTAACTCAACTTACTTCTTTAATCTCCTCAAATTAGTCAACTGGTTCTTATAATTAGAACCGGAGGTAGCATTTATTTGTAATAAATATATGTTGTTTTTTTAAAATATTTTTACTAATTAAGTGTATTAATTAGAACTACTATTATTATAAGGATTATTTTATAAAAAAAATAGATAAATATAAAAGACAAAATGAATTAGAATCTTATATTTAGAATCAAAATAAAAATTAAATAAATTTCTATATTAAAAACTGGAGCTAGTATAACATGAAGTATTAGGAATTAAGCTACATTGTTTATAGCTTTATGAATGGTATCACTGGTTAGAATTGACTTTATTAAAATGTTGAAGTTTGTCCAACGAAACGGTCTAAACCAATTGATGTGGTTGGGGATGCCTATGTCGTGGATTTGGATCCTCTTTTCAGTATTTTTGGTTTTTTAATATAAAAGCTAATTTGATTTTTAATTTGGTTCTAAATATAATATTCTAATTCACTTTATCTCTTATATTTATCTATTTTTTTCAACATTTTTATAATAATTACACATGTTAAAAATTTCATCAAATGTTAAATTAATGCACTTGATTAGTAAGGGTATTTTAAAAATGACAGTATCTATTTGTTACAAATAATTAACTTAACAAACTTTCTCAATTTATTCAAATTAGTCAACTAACTCTTATAGTAAGTATCGGAAATAGTATCATTTTTTGTTATTTTATTCCCCTCGTCTTATCATCTTCCTTGGATTAAAAATTTGATGACTAAGGTTTAATTAAATTCATTTATTCGTAAGTAATCATGCAAGTTCATGCCTTAGCTTTTTAATTTTTTATGGGTCAAACGATATTGGTTCTATTTTTCCCCCCAGAAAGGTTAAACGTCATTGTTTGTTCATCACTTCTTTTGACTCAAGTGTCTTTTTTTCAGGACTCTCAAGTTTAAAGGCTAATTCGTCAAAGTAATCTATTGTTGAATATTTATAGCATTAATATTTCATTTAATTTTTTAGCTTTGTTATTAAACTTTGGGTTAATACAATTTCTCGTGTATCAAATTTACTCTTATTTTGGTTTTCATCTTTCAAATTTAAAACCAAAGGTTTTGGTCCCTCAAAAAATAAAATGATCTAAATCTTTTATTGAATTATAAGAAATCAATATTTTAAATAAAAAGAAATTTTAGGGACTAAAACATATGTTTTGAAACTTAAAAAGCCAAAACCAAAGTGAAGGCAAACTTGATAGACTAAAAATTGTATTAAACCCTTAAAACATAATAAATATATGGTTTTTTAAATTAAAACATGTTAATTAAAGTGTATTGTGTAATTATTTATCCAGGGAATTGACAAAAAATTCTCAACCTAAAACATGCATTAATTGTTTTTAAACTAGAAATTTAATAAAGCTCTAAAAATTATAGTAATTTTTTATGAAATATTCCATGATGCTAAGTATTTAAGAAAATGATGTTATTATTCTGCCATTCCATCAGTCTCTCCAATAAGGAAAATGGAAAATCACATAAAAAGAAAAGAAGTTAAAAATTGTAAGATTTCAATTCAAACACTTAAAATTTCAAAATCTCAAAAGAGGAAGTGATGCCTGATGGGATATTTTGTAAATGTAGTTAAATTATGAAAATACTCTTGTATCAAAAAGTTATTAACAAGTTGTGAATTGACAATGACAAGTATTAGACAATAAACGACAAGAAATATACTGATAATAATAAATTATTTATTAATAAGTTATGAACTAGTAATGATAAGTGTTAAATAGCTAATGATAAAAAATATACGGGGAAATGACAAATTTGATAGCTTTTTAAAAATCTAATATAAGAGTATTTTAGTTATTTGATTATATTTGTAAAATACCAGGTTAAGCACAACTTTCTCTTATAAGATTTTGAACTTTTAGGTGCCTAATTGGAATATTGCAATTCTCAACTTCTTTTCATGTCATTTTTCCTAAAGAAAATATATTTTATTTATTAACTTAGCCAACATTTTTATTTAATTTCATCGTCTGTATGATTGAAACTCAAAAGAAACATAGCACTTAATACAAAGTGATCATTTGTATTAATTATTGAGAATTGATTTCGCATTGTACATAAATATGTAAGATAAATTTTGATATGAATTTCCCATATTATCGTCGAACAATATATAATTCACAAGGATTGTGTTTGCAAGTTAAAGTCATCTACCATCAAATAAAAAGCACGAGTCTATGGTCAAATTCAACAAGTATAGGATAGAAGCAGCGGACTGTAAAACGCACCAATCCACTAGTCTTCTCTCTCGTGTTATGCATCAGCATGCCTAAGAAGAAAAAAATTTAAAAAAATGTTTTAGTAAATTTTCCAGTAATATTTTAAAAATCGAACCAGATATTAAATCAGAAAAACTAATAGGTCACGGATAATATAATAATTAAATAAAAATTAATACTATATGCTTATATAACAATATATGTATAAAAGAAAATTTTAAGTTGTGAAATAATTTAAAAATAAACATAAATATTTCAATTTCTAATAAATTAACTAACTTATATCGTAATAACATATCCAAGAATTCACAAATTATTGATTAGTAATATAATTAAAAAACGCATAGGTTGAATTCACAAATGGTAAGTTCTACCACTCATCTTGGCAAGTAGTAGAAAATGAAATCTGGTTGATGGTTAAAGATTTTTTTGAAGCAAAAGGTTGCATTGAGGAACTAAATGGGACTAATATTATTTTGATTCCAAAGGTTGATAGACCTGAGGATGTCAGTCAGTTTAGACCTATTGGTTTGTGCAACTTTGGCTACAAAATTATTTCTAAAGTTCTTGCTAATAGATTGAAGCCTTGGTTGAATACTTGTATTTCTAAGAACCAGGGTGCTTTTGTCCTGGGAAGATTGATTCACGATAATGTAATTGTTGCACATGAAATTTTCCACTTTTTGAAAAGAAGGAAGAAAGCTAAAAGGGTTGATTTTGCATTAAAAATGGATATGAGCAAGGCCTATGATAGAGTTGAGTGGGATTTTGTAGAAGCTATACTGTTGAAGCTTGGTTTCTGTGAAAAATGGGTAAGACTAATAATGAGATGTATCACCACTGTGAAACTGAATTTGTGCCTATCGGGAAGAAAAGTAGCTGAGCTCAAACCTGGAAGGCGTTTAAGGCAAGGTGACCCATTATCTCCTTATATATTCATTCTTATTGTGGATGTGATGTCAAGAATGATCTCCAAGAATGCTGATGCTGGTTTGTTGAAGGGTATTAGAATTGCTAATGATTGTCCTATGTTAACTCATAGCTTCTTTGCAGATGATGTGATGGTTTGTCAAATTAGCTTGTTGACCTGAAGCCTCACAATAATCCTTAAGAATATCAGCCAATTTCCTACAGTTATTTTCTAAAAATTCCACCCCAGAAGTAAGGGACTCGGTTTGCATAATCCTCAATGTTAAAGATATTGATGAGCCAGGAAAATATCTAGGAGTTCCGAATGTGTGGGGAAAGAATAAACAGCAGGCCCTGGCTTATATCAAAGAAAGAGTAGGGAGAAAGGTTGAAGGTTGGAGCAGCAAACTTCTGACTCAAGCTGGTAGAGAAGTGATGATTAAGGCAGTAATCAGTGCAGTGCCTATCTATCCGATGCATTGCTTCAAGTTTCCAAGGAAAATATGTAGGGAACTAGACAGTATCATCGCTCAATTTTGGTGGAATGGTGGAAAGGAAGGAAGAAAGATTCACTGGAGAAATTGGAAAATCATGACTAAGGCTAAATCTAATGGAGGAATGGGATTCAAAGATTTTGAAGTTATGAACGATGCCCTATTAGCAAAGACTGCT